GGGACGGCTGCCCTGCGCCCCCCGCGGGAACTTTCCTGCCCCCCGGGCTTCTTTCGCGGCAGCTCGCTTCTTTCTAGGTTCTCCCCTCCCACTGCCCCTGCCCAATTTCTGGGGACGTAGCCCCTCTCCTCCAGGCATTTCTGGGCTCCTTTTGTACGGGCTCGCTGAAATCCCGTCCGGCCTTAGGATGTGGGGAAAGCGTAAGGCCAGGATGGGTAAGGTTTCCGACCCGCTGCCAAAAGCCCTGGGAGCAGCCGCGGAGCCCCCTTCCCCTAAAGAGCGGAAAATAGCCTGGCTTGAAGGCAGGCATCGCTCGCTGGCCGTCTGTGAAAAAGCAGCTCACTTTCTTCTTTTGCGGAGAAAGTGCTGAGCTTTCTGCCCCCTCCCCATCCCGGGTGTCCTCTGTGTTTAAACTCGGGTTACAAACGAGCTGTGTTTCTCCCGCTAGAGCCCTGGAAAAGCCTCGCATCTGGCAGAGCCGTAGAGGGAGGCAGCTGACATGAGAAATGCGCCCGGGCTTTGGGAGCGGGGCTGGGCTGGGCTGGGCTGGCGGGGAAAGGTGCCGGCCGTTTCGCGGAGGGGGCCTCTCCCTCCAGACTCCCTTGGATGTTTTTCTCATCGTAGGTCTTTGGCCATGAACCCCATCCAGAGACCTGAGATGTACATCATCGGCGCTCAGCCGGTGTGCAGCCAGCTGCCGGGGCTCTCCCCTGGCCAGCGCAAGCTCTGCCAGCTCTACCAGGAACACATGGTGTTCATCGGGGAAGGGGCCCGCAGTGCCATCAAAGAGTGCCAGTACCAGTTTCGGCAGCGGCGGTGGAACTGCAGCACGGTGGACAACACCTCTGTCTTTGGGCGGGTCATGAAAATAGGTAGGAGCACCCAGTACGGAGCAGGTGCTGGGCGCAAGCCGGCTGTCCCTGTGCAGCTTTCTCCCTTTCTTCAAATACACATGCAGGAGCGATGAGCCCCATTAATACCGCTCCTAAAGCTGCCTTTAATGAGCTTTTCCATTTCGTGGTGTGCTGGTGCTGCCCGAGCGCTGCCTGTGTGCTGCCTGCGCCTGAGCGGGTGGCAGCAGTGCACCTGAGCCACAGCAGGAGCTAGCTGGGGCAGCGGGGGGGACGGGGACTTTCTTTGGGGGGCATGGGAAGGTCAGGAAGAGGGGGTCTGCTTTTGTTTTGTGTGCTTGTTTAAAGGTAGGGAGGGAAGACGCTGGAGCCAGGAACAATGGACCCGCGTTATCATTCCCAGCATCTGGAGTGCCCTCGGACAGGGAATGCAGCCCCGAGAATGTGGGAAATATAGACTCCCCTGGCATGGGATCTCCCCCCCCTCCCTGTTCTGCCACTTTCTGTGTAAACCTAAGAGATTTTTATAATTCCTGCCCTGCTGGCCGTAAGAGGCACATTGACAGGCCATTGCTGCACTTGAATTGAGGTGTGACCGAGCCACATTGTCCCATCTCCTTTTGAAATGCAATCATCTGATGACAAGAAACTGAGAAATCCGGGCTTGGTTTGATGTGTCCGACAGCCAGGACAATAAAGAAAAGGTGTTAAAACAGTGCTTACACACACACACACACACACACACGCGCGCGCGCGCACACACACTCACCAACCCCAGTGTTGTCTTCCCACCCACAAAGCCGATCATTTACACTGAAGAATCCAGAACCAGCACTATTTCTAGGCTGTAAGGTCAGGGAAAGCAATTAGCAAGGGATGGAAAAAGACCTCCAGCTCCTGCACCCCCAGCTGCCCCCAGCATTGCTTGCACCTTTTTGGCTTCACTCTCAAAAAAATGGCATAGGCAGCAGGACACCAAGAGATGCATCTTTAATACCTCTGGGGCATCAAGGCGATAGGGCACCAGGGTAGCCAAGTCCCATGATCCCTTCCATTTGATCCTGAAATTCTTCTGTGTCATCCTGGAGAATTTTAGGGACGTTTTTGCATGTGTTACTCAACCTTTCAGAATCCCTAATTCAGCCCACCAGAGCCATTCTAATTCCTCCCTTTCTGCCCAGCTCATACTCCAACAAATCCCCGCTTCTCTGGGGTACTCCCCTGTGAAATGCCATTTCCTGAAACATACTTTCAGCTCCTGACACACATCCAAGGCATCTGCGCATCCTTCATCTCTTGCTTTCTGATAGCAAGGGTGGTGGCCAGATGAGGCTGAATGCAATCCCAGGTTGTTAGAACTTGTGCTTCAGGGTATGAAAACTGAAATTACAGCCACCAAAGGGAAAGGACAGAAAATACATCTCCATATCTCTCTTTTGGTGTCTCTCCCTCACATGTAACTTACGCCAAAGAACGGGGTAGATTTCAGATCCCCAAAGAGATCCTAGTGACGCCACAAGGACACAAGAAAATAGGAATTTCCCCTTCTGGGGAAGAGCAAACCTCCTCTTCTTCAGTACCTTTCTGCAGCCCTGAGTTGGTCCAGTGAGTCCACACCTGGAGAAAAGAAGTAAGGGTGAACTAAGAAAGCAAAGATCAGAGGTGAAGGATGGAAAGCAGTCAGGAAGGATCAGAGGGTGTACGGGAAGAAGGGACTAGAGTGGATAGTGGAAGAGGGAAGATTCCTCCTCTCTAAAATGAATTTGATCCCATTAGTTTAGATTGGGAGTAGCTTTGGGTTTTGATGAGGAAAGAGGTGGTGTGGGTACATGATGGGTATGTCCAGTAGTCCTGCTGCTGTTGTTTGGTTTGTGTGTGCGTGCATTTGTTTGCTAGGACTACTGTTGTATCTCTAGTAGGAATCTGCTGATGGTAGTGTCTGTGAGGTGACTGCCTGCGGTTGCCCGCTGTTTAAAAAACTATTCTAACGAAGAGTTTTGAACCTGGCTCCTTTAGATACTCTGGTCAGTTAGAGCATGTTCAGATGTTTATACTCCAGCACAAGACAGCACAGAAGAGAAGTAAGAAGAATGTCGCCAAAGGTGGCCTGGGGTGTTACAGGGTCTACGATGATTCATCACTGTTGCCTATGTCAGTGATAAGCTGCTGTGGAGGGGGATGCTGTCTTTTCTCTTAGTTCCACCCTCCGCTTCTACTTTTTCTTACTTTGTAATGAGGCATTGCTCATCATTTCAGCAAATCTATTTTCCACTCTGTGGAAGAAAACAATGCCTTTCAATCTCTCAGGTCGTGTCAACTATAAAGTCATTCTTCCTTGGGCTCATACAGTGTGCCTGTCTCCTGTTTTCAACCCCTGAGCCCCAATTCTGGACCGCAGCCCTTTTTCTGTACTCTGTGCCAATGGCACAAGAAAGGTCTGGAGACCAGAATATCTGCAAGAGTGCAGAGGCATGCCAGAGTGTTGTGGAGAGGGCGGGGTGGGAAGAGATAAGAAGGACCCAGAAGGTGTATAGTGTGCTAACAACCCTCGGCTGCCCACCCACCGATGCAGGCATGGCATATATTACATGATTTCTTGAGCTGCTCTAGATTGTAGGAGGGAAGGAGAACCTGCCCTGGCCAAGTCCAAAGCCTGGGAGATCCTCAGGAGAGCGTTCACTCAGAAACCTGGAAGATTTGTTTCCTTTCTCCCTCGCAGAACTTGGCTCAGCTCGGAAATGGGAGACCCGGTCGGTCTGTGTTTAATCATTACACCTTCATTTTGTGCATTTCATAGAGGTGAGGCAGTCCAATGACACAAAGCTTTTGTAGAGGCATCTGTAGCACTGAAGTAGGCTGCTTTTTAGCGTTGGTTTTTCCTAGTGTTTGTGTTGTCGTGAGAATTGCTCTTACCTTTTAAATGTGGTTTACTCAATGATATCTGGCGATGTACAAAAATTATCCTTCTGAAGTTGCTTCTTGTTCTGTCAATACAGATTTTAGACTGCACGTGTGTGTATATATATCTCTATACATTATATACAGACACATTCCTTACTTCTACATTTATGAGGGAGAGGACAGAGCACCCAAAGAGGTCGTGTTAGAATTTCCTCAGGGGAGGAAAGAATATATCTCCTTCAGCGCAATCCTAAACGCAAGGCTGGGGTTTCCAGGTTAGTCCAGTCATTTCTGGAGCCAAAGATCTTCTCTTCTGCCTTTTCAAATGCAAAAAGGAAAAAAAAAGGAGTCATAAAAGAAGAGAACAAGGAGAAATATTTTTCCTCGTTTTTCTTCAAGATTGGCAAACTTTAGGGAAATGCTTTTAAAAAAATCAGTTGAAACTAATAAAACGTTCTCATCAAAAAAGTTAGAGTAACACATTTTTATCATCTTTGTGTCAGGTCTCCCTGCTGGGGTCCGTTCTTCTCCCATTTCCTTCTCCTGCAGCTCCAGAAAAGCAAGCCGGGGGGACCGACACATCACCTGGGTACAGCTCACGCTGTCATCCTCGCCAGTGCCCCCCCGAAAGCCGCCGTGGCCCCGGGCTCCCTGTCCCGGTGGCGGGTGGCCGGCGGGCACAGGAGGGCAGCAGAGCTCTGCGGAGCTCCACGCCGGCGGGCAGAGCCTGCCGGGGAGCATGGCTCCGGGCATTGTCCCCCAAGCCTGGCCAGGGCATGGCAGCCCCGGGTGACTCCGGCCCACCACTCGGGAGAGCTTGGCAGAAGCATGTGAGGGGGCAGAAGTGGGGTTACTGCCTGGCCGTCTCTGTAACCTCTGTTCACATTTGCACAAATGTGGGGAGTAACGCCCTGGTCTGTTGAGATGATGGCACAGAGGTGTGGAACTGGGGTGACCTTTGAGATGATGGGCAAAAACCCAAATACTTTTCCAAAGCTGGAAGGCGTGGTAGCAGAGCAGAGAAAACTAGGATATATAAGCCCACAGTTGCCAGCTACAAATTTGCTTTGTATTAGCGCAGGGTTTCACGCACACATCCGATCCCGCCTCCCAAACCAAGCTGCGGTCTTCCAAACCTACATCTGCCGAGCGCTGTGGTTTGTTCTGCTTTGTGGGCAGCAGGGGAAAAAAAACCACCCACCGTGACTCACTTCAGCCTCTCCCTCCACCATCCTCATCAGCCTAAACAACTCGTGCAGATCCAGGGGCTGCACACTGAGTTGTCGTGCTGCTACATCTGAAATGTGGAGATGGTTAAAACACGGACAGTAGAAGTGTAAATCCAGTCTGTGCTTTCAGGCATCTCGATCAAGCTGTAAGGATGCTAAGCACCTGGAGTCATGCAGGCTCTGTTGCACAAGCTGTAACACCGGGAGGTCCCTTTCTTGTATGTATCTTAATCTCTATAGATGCAGAGTGCTCTACTTAACAGGGCGATTGGTGTGTCCGCAGGGCTCTCACCATACAGGGGCAAAACTGCGCATTGGACCGTTACCTTAAAATACCCATAACATGCAAAACAACCTAGATGAATGAAAGCTTGATTTTGGTTGCTGAAAAATGACCATAACTCTCTTATGGGCCAGTCTCAGCTGAATTACCTTAACTAGGAGTCACTCCTCTTTACCTCTCGGACCAGGGAGGTGTGGGGGGCGTAGTCTTATGACCTGCTAGTGAGGCCCTCCCTTCTATATTAAGTGTCCTGTAGCATTTTATCAGCCTTGTGCTGTACTCCAGAGCAGAAGCCCTTAGTGTACAACTCTCATTTGGGGGGGGGGGGGGAGAATCACAAGTTGTTCTGCAAGGTGGATGCCATTCACAGCCTTGCCTTTGTCTTGGGTCATTACCACTAAGCTGGTGATAAGCTGCTATTAATTACAGATTGTCAGCACATGCAAATTAGAACAAGAGCATACCAAAAGCATCAGCTCAGTCCTGCTGAGAGAAGTGGCACTGAGAGCCTTGTGGGTTGGTAACAAACTGTTCTTGGAGGATCTGCCCTCTGAAGTCACTCAAATTTGCCTGAGAGCATTAGAGGGTGGCCTCTTGCTTGGGTTTGGTGTAAGTAGCTCCCCACAATCAGATTGCTTATTCCAGCGAAGCTTTGGCAGTTGTTCTCTTTATCACCTGAAAGTTTGGTGATGCACACAATGACTCTGAAGGTGTCAGTTTAGTTAGTTATTTCATCGTGTGGTGAGAGTGCAGGTGTGGATTGCCTCCTTCTCATCCCCCTCTACTCCACCCCCCCCCCCCCCCCCCCGGCCTTCAGACCCACAGCACTTGCTGGTGCAGCACGCTTGGCCTCATGCAGTGTTCTGGCTGCGTTGGTGCCCCGGTCAAATTGGGGCTGAATCACTGCCAGGAATACATAGCTGGAGACCCGATCCAGCTGCTTGGCTCAGACTCTAAGCTGTATAGAGCATACACTCCAAGCAGGGCAGTCTCTAGTAAACCTGCTAATGGAAAGTCTTTTCATTTATTATTGTCTACATGGGAAAGTTTTAGTTGTTCCAGCACTGCAGTTCTGTAGGCGTTTGGAGAGCCTCTGCCTTGATGCTTTAGTGTAAAAATGGGTTTCCTTCAGTTTGTCTCAAAACAATTCTCAGCTGACCTTATGTAAACCAAAATAAGGCTGATGAACTGAGGAGCCCATAAAGAGCGCTTGTCCCAATTTAATGAAAACCGTCCCAGAGCGATATCTGGCTTAAGCAGAACGCTCCTTTTGCACAGACCCAACCTCATTAGTTTTTCTCAATGATTGGCAAATTCAGTGGCTGAGGCAGCAGCTGTATTTTCAGCAAGTGAATAACCCTCTTGCTGCTTGAGAGTTTCCTCTGGGTTAAAATGAGAGGATACTGAAGGGTTGATCTGAGAGGAAGGAGGCTGAGCACTCCCTGCCTTTGGTGTTGCTGTTTCTTTTGGGCAAGGCCTGGAGTTTCCAGGGCTCTTAAATGGTCAAACATAAGTATAATAAAAATAATAATCCTTGAGGAGCAGCATGGACAAATTCATGAAGAGCATGCTTTTCCTAAGAATATTCCTCCAGGCGACAGCAGGAATCTCAGCCCCTTCCCTGGTGTGTGTCAGAAAATCAGATTTGGGTTTGATCCTGGTTACGCAGAAACTGCCAGCTCTGGACAGTCAATAGACTGGAGCTGTTACTGTGAAATTAAAACAAAAATGGGATGCAAGCATGTGTTATGACAGTTCCCCCTCTACGAGAATGGGGTGGTGCCCTTGTGCTTGACCACCCTGTTCCTTTGTTCCAGTTAATTCTGTGCACCTTCTCAGAGCACACCGTGTCGTACTGTCCGGAGCCCATGTGCTTGCTCCTTGCTGCGCGTTGTGTTTGTTAAGTCTCTCGTTCATTTGCTTCTCACATCTCTCTCGCAGGGAGCCGAGAGACTGCTTTCACCTACGCTGTAAGTGCTGCTGGGGTGGTGAACGCGATCAGCCGGGCTTGCCGTGAAGGAGAGCTCTCCAGCTGTGGCTGCAGCCGGACGGCCCGGCCCAAGGACTTGCCCCGAGACTGGCTGTGGGGCGGCTGCGGGGATAACGTGGAGTATGGATATCGTTTTGCCAAGGAGTTTGTGGATGCCAAGGAGAGGGAGAAGAACTACGTGAGAGGTTCAGACGAGCAGGCTCGCATGCTGATGAACTTGCAACGAGGCTGGTCGCAGGGTAGGGT